CTATGGACAAGGAAAAAAAAGTCTGAAAGCACTGAAATAGTTCTATTGAACTAATGCTCTGAGGACTGAGTTTGGGCTAAGTGCTCTGTTACACAGCAACTTAGTCACTAGTAGGAGAAAGATGTGCTTGTTAGCATGAGTAGCCACATGTTTTGGAGTAGTTTGATCATACTGTGTTGTGGTTTGAACCTATGGGAATTCAGCATCTCACACATGCTTTAGTATGTCTGATCTCTGCAGCTGTATGCTCGGTTACTTTTCCATTTGACATCTTCCATACCTTAGTGCCAAGATACAACTGCTTAAAATTTGTGCTCCTTGATTACAATCACTTGTGTTAATGCTGGTGCTTCAGTCTTGAAGCAGGCTGACAAATGGCAAAGTAGGAGGCAAACCCTGATGGTTCATGTGTGTGAAATGACACTACTCTTGTCAGCCAAATGCACGTGTGACTGCTTCAAAATGTAACCTGTACATTATTTCTGCTTACCATAGCAAATCTCACACATTGATTTTTAATGTTAAGATGGCTTTGAATAAAGCATACAGATGTTGCTTAGCTGCCCCGTGGGGTTTCTTTTTGTTGTCATAAACACAGCACCTTCACAGTGCCGCACTGATGGTACTTTGTGTTCTTAAGTAAGCAATGCCCTTAGCAAAACACTTTGTGTAGTTCCTTTCTAGGAGCATGTTGTACTTGTAATGCTATAAATGGTTGAGTGAAATTGTTTTAAGTGCTTAACTCATCCTCTCTTCTAATAGTTTGAATTAGCTTGGCACCAGGCTAGTTCACATCAGGATGTGATATCACTAAGGCTGCACAGGGAGCTCTGAAACTGTTTCTTCCCCATAATTTCTGATGGAGTGTGTATGAGTAGCACTGGACAGAACATGTTGGGAGGGGTTTCTGATTACTGCAGATCTTTCAGCAGACTTCCTCCTGGATGATGCCATCTCTACCTTCAGGTAGAGCTGGTAGCTGAGAATAAGCTAGTCTTGTATGACTGTATTGTATTCCTGAACATAGTCAAGTAAACTGGTTGTAATGTAATGTGTTGACATATGAAGTGCCCCACATGGTTTCTGGCTTCGGTGACACTGGTAATTGTGGCTGTGCGATATGGTCTGCTGGTGAAACACAGATGCTGAAGATGTGTTTTGTCTGTTATCAAAGCTTGTGTGTCTGGGCACACCCTATTTTTTTCAGATAGGTTTTTTTTCCCCTTCCCCCTATGTACAAACATAACTGACTAGTTTGAGTGAATGCTATGTGATTGTGTGGATGAAAGAACAGAGTTCCAGGTGGAGTACCAGGAAAAGAGTAAATTGTTACAATTTGCATTGTGACACTAGTGCAAACTGAATTGCATTCTTGTAGTAATCTATAAACTTGGAGCTTGAATTGTCTATAATAATAGATACAGTTTTGATTGCTGTTTACCCAGCACTGAATGAGTCACTACTGTTAACATAGATTAACAGGGTTTTATGCACTATAGTTAATTCTTAGAAATACCTCACTTTTTATGCAGGACACTTTGAGAAGTCTGAATGTGGACATGAAGCTATATCTGAAGCTGGTTTAGTTGCTCATGGAAGTATTGCTTAGTAAAGTGAAAAACTGCTTTTAAACCAGTTGAATCAGTGGCTTATTTCTATATAGTGTCTGGTTACGTTAAAGTCCAGAGCACTGAGTAAGCAGACTTCTACATGTATACATTTGTAAGTGCAACTTTAGCACACTTCCTCATTTCTCTACTCAGTCTCACAACTACTTTTATTTTACTTGGAGGTTCTTCAGCATTGATTGGATCAAGGATTACTGATGTCAATAATTAGACCACGGTATAGCTGCCTGTGTTTTTTCAATTTTTGGCATTATTAATTATGCATACTGTAAGCTAACATGTCATTCTTTTAAATTATTGGGATCTCAGTCTTGCTATATCTTGGCATATTTGAGTTTCTATTTTCTGGAGTAAGAAACTCTGGAAAGAGATAAGACTGCTGGTTGGATCTGAGCTAATGCTGAATCAAAATGGAATCAACATTTTCTTGCATGACTAGGTGAGCAAGCAGTGTTATGGGCTAGTCTGCAGACAAGTAGAAACTTGTTCAAAGGTGTCAAAACAACAGTAAAAGCAAAGTTTGGAAATATTTTTCAGCAGTTGATTCTGTGATTGACTTAAATGAAAGATATTTAGGACAGATTCTTGCCATGCCTCTAGGGAAGTTTGTTGTTGGTTTTTTTTTGGTTGATGTCTTGAATATGCCTTATTTTTCCTAATGAAAGATGAAAATAAGGGTACTGAATTGTTTCTGCTTCTATAAGAATTGAAAAATAGTGTGTAGGCAAATGATCTAGACCAGAGTTAAGGATCTAGGATTTTTTAAGCTAGTCAAGCGTCCTCACCTTAGAGGCATAAGGGGAGGCAGGGAAGGTTGCTGTCTGATCTTTTGTTCTTCCATGGTCTTTTTACCCTCAGTCTGAGAAAGATGTTTAAAGTCTCATGTAAAGGCAAGGTTATGGGCTAAAAGCCACTCTGGTCCATAGTGAGCACACAAATTCCTGCAGTTCTAGAATAGTCTTAATTTGAATTGAAAACTGTTGGGCCCTATAACCTGTCTGGAAAGCCTTGTATATTTTACTAGTACCAAAAAGGATTTATTTTTTTAATGTAGTCATTCAAGCTGTCTTTCCAGCTTGAGAAAATTAAGTTTTAAGGAAAAATGTCAGCTTTTTGAATTATGCATTTTTGCTTTTAGTAACGTACTTTGTAACTTACCTTTCACTACTTAATGTCCTGGTGTTATTTTACACTTTTTGAAGTAGTTGATTATAAGAGTTTGTTCTCTTTCCCCTGCTGTGGCTTTCTGAATGGTTTCTGTGAGGTTGTAAATTTTGATATTAGACAACAAGCCACGAGTTGTTCTGTTTGTCGTGGCAGACTTGTTTCCCAAAGCAGTCAGTGGTCCCTGGAATTATTCTTCCATGTACCTAATAAATATTGAGATAGAAGAAATCTTCCATGATGATGATGTTTTCTGATCTTGTAGCTTTTTTGACCTAAGTGTATCACCATCGGTGCTGTTGCCCTAGTTGTGGTGGTTGGTAGCACAGATTCTGTTTTTCTGTTAGCTCTGGATATGTAGTCTGTAGGAACTGCTACACTACCTGACAGTCAAATTATTTTAGACTTTAATATAGTTCTCATATTAGTGTGAATTATTCTGTCCATCCTATATACTTAATCCTGATGTTCGTGTCCTGCTGCTTTCTTCCCATGAAATGTCAAATGTGGCAGTATCAGTATTCACATGCTGGTGTCTGCATTTTAGTTAACCAGCACTGACCTGTCTGTCCATAATTTTTGATGGCAAATATTCCCATCCTTCCTATTATTTGATTGGAGAGTGGAATCTGTCACTCCAAATGGGACAGATGGTGTTCAACACTTGTTGATGTCTGATGGTGTTCAACACACCTGTTCAATTTCCTTGTTCTTCATTTGGGAAGCTGACCTTTGCCAATGAATGCATCTTCAGCTTGACTTTCTTGTTGGGTCCAGTGACATCTGTCCCTCCTATACAGATTTTATTGCTCTGAAAGTGACACTTCTTCCTGCCAGATCTACCATGGCACTGCAACTGTCTTGTAAATCTGAAGTTTTTCCTACCTCTGGTTTAATTTCTGGTGCTAGGAGCCTCTTATATATATTCATGATATGGAAGTCCTCTAGCTGCTTTGGACAGTTTCAGTCTTCTCTCTCGTTGATTCTCATTCTTCTCATCTCGCTGATGATGAAGCTCTCCATCTTCTCTTTATTTCATCTCAGATGTCTTAAGATAATTCTTTGAAGATACTGAGCTGCCTCTGCCGTGCATTGCTTCTTTGAAAAGCAGGAAGAAGGCCTTCAGTGCGGAGAAAAACTGCCATCTGGGGTTGTTACTGCCCTTTGCTGTGTGCATCAAGGGATGAGCACTGAAATCTCTCTTAACTGGGATTCTTGCTGCTATGCTCCTGCTGTGGTGTCTGTTCTAGACTGGAGCTTACACAGCAGCGTGTCATAATTATTATAATTTAGGTATCTCTTAAATTCCTGTCTTCATGCAAACTTGTACGTAAGAACACACATGAAGCCAGATGCAGACTGAAGATCCAATACTAATGTGTTCCGTCTCCAGAAGTAACCAGCACTGAATACTAAGTGAAGAGTGTAAGAACAGGATTAGTGTGTAGTGATTCTTCCCTAGAACTCTCCTAGCTGCTTGCAGCTTGTGACTGAGCTGCTTGAGTCAGTCTGGTATTCAGTTTTTGGACAGATTTATCTTATGTGGTTCTTACCTGCTAGTCTTTGAGCCTGTGTAAGCTTTTGGCTTCCAAGTAAGAAGCTTCATAACTTGACTACACACTGTGAGGAACCATGCCCTTTTGATGGGTTACTTGCTATGGGAAGAGAGAAAAGTGATGGTTCATTTCTACTGTGTAGTCCCTCCGATACCTTTTTCCTGTTGAGGAGCCAAATCTTTTGGGTTGTTCCTTTTTCTTGCATGGAAGCCAAGCAAGCCAACTATCTTAGAATGCAGCCCTAAAGCCACACTTGATTGCAACGGACCAAAGGGTTCAAAAGCTGCTTGGCAGTCAGGGGAGCAGAAGTAGCTTGTTGAGGGTAAATATGCACAGATGGTATAATTGCAAAAGCCAAAGGAAAGTTGGTCAAAATGGCTGCACTTGATTCAAAGGCTAAGAGCTTAAGAGTGCTTACTGTCTTAAAATCCTGATTTGGCTCATTGTTTTTCATTTCTTCTTAATTCCAGAATTTTTGAACCCTCTTGGGAAATAGGAAAACAAAGAACTACCTTTTAAAAAATATTTCAGAACAGTTGACACCTTCCAGGGAAAAGCTGATATTTTTTTTCTGCAAAGTTTGGAAGAATCTGCGTTCTCTGTGATTTTAAATAAGTATAAAATGACAACAGCTTAAACTTCAGCCTTTAAAATGAATGCTGAAAAGTCAAATGACAAAGCAAAGAATGGCTTGAATTCTACCTTACTTATACGGGATGAAAATGGAAATAGCTACTCATGTGACAGAGCTACACCTTCCTCAAAGAACTGTGCCACCAAGATACATGGTAACTCATCTGACCAAAATATAGTGACTGAGAATGAAGTTTACACTGTTCTTGAAAGTCAGAGTGATGTCACAAGTTTTCTTTTAAAACAGCAGTGTATTGAAGCACTTAATCTGCAGAAGACACCTGATAAATATGACTGCACAGGAGCTCTGTTGGAAGCTGGAGATGCTGCATGCAGGTCTTCTGTGACTGAACAGACTTCCATTTATCCTTTGAACTGTGACTTGAAAGAAACAGCAAACTTCCAGAAAGGCGATGTTGCTGTGGAAAAAATGCAAAATCAGAGTATCAAACCATCTGTGCCTTACAGTCAGACTGACTTTAAGTGTGTATTACCTCTTCCTGCGTCAGGGCAGAACATGCAGTCCCTTTTGAAGGACAGGGCACATTGTCACCTGAGCATATTGGATGCTACTAATGTTATAGGTGAAACTCAGGAAACTGATCAAGATGACATGCACCTGAGGAAAACTCTTATCTCTTCTCAAGCATGTATGAGAGAGAGGTTTGGTAGAACTAGCTCAGGAAGAACACCTAATTTCCACTCTACAATAGTGGCTTCAGAAAGCCCAGACGATGCCGATTCAGAACTTGAAGTGTGTTGTCCTGCCTCTGCAGGTGTTGAACACCATCTAAAAAACACTGACAAGATTGATAAAGAATCACAGGAAACAGAAGCACAGTACATAAAACTAGCTGCTGGGTGTATAGAACCCTACAGGCAAGATGCATTATCGCCAGGCATTAAGATAAATGAAGATGGCCAAGTGAAATCCTTTCAGGATACCCCTGAACATGATGAACCTAGGAATTTCAATGCTGAAACATGCATGGGTAGTCCTGCAAATAATGTGCACCTTCTCCTGGAAGATAAAATGAATGGAGAACAAGTATCAAAGAAAACCAGTGAATCCTTAACCAAAGAGCAAAGTGTCTTTGAAAATGTTGCTCTTCAGGATATGCACATCTCTTCCTTATCTTGCAGTGTACCAAAATTGAAGAGGACTGTAATGCCTGACCTGAAATGTGAAGCAACTTTTTTGGTCTTCAGTCCCATGGCTGATGAAAGTAATGCTGCTGTATGTACTTCAACCCCCAAAGAACAATCAAAAAATACGACTTTCTGTCTTTCAGCATTGTCAGAGCTTGGAGACAAGACTCCTAAACTAAGATCCAATGGCGCATTTGTAGGAGACCACAACAGAAGGCCTTTGCTTAAAGCTAATTCAGGTCAGACTGCAGGAAAACCAGTGGGCAAGTCTCCTGTTGTGTCAACAATAACCAAAGCAAAGAAATCGGAGATTGTTAGTTTTCCCAAACCTAATTTCAAAAACGTGAAGCCAAAGGTTATGTCTAGGCCTGTGCTACAGTCAAGAGATAGTGCATCATTAAAACAGTCCCCCCAGGCCCCACAGTTATCGGCTGTCTCCTCATCTTCGCCGGCTACTCCCCCAAGGCAATTGTCCCCCTCTATGAAAGTGCTGAAAAAGAAAGTAGATCTAACTAAAGACACTAAAGTGGAATTGCCTGGGAGTAAGCCCCATAAGCTAAATCTTAACAAACACCTCATCACTAGCCAAGTTGTACGTGCTACAGCACATCCCAGAAATGCTTCCCACAAGGCTTCCAAGACACCTGTGTTAAAGCAGGTTCCGGAAGACACTGGCAAAGCAATCTCTACCCATTCAGCATGCTCCTCAGTTTCTGCAGTGCTTCCAAAGTGCATAGAGAACTCAAAAGAGATGCTAAATGATAAAATGGAAAGTTCAGACTCTTCAGTGTATTCATGTGCTCAAAACACCTACCTGACCGGAGGTGAAAAAGAACAAAGAAGCAACATGGGAATTCTGGAAGGAACCTTGTTAAAAGATGTGGCAAATGAAACGCTTGAGCTGCATTCTGCTCCTTTGGTAAGCTTGTTTCTGCACATGCTTGTTTCTGTTTTGTGCATTTGGAAAGAGGGAATTCTGTATGGCATGGTGTTGAATGGAAATTTGGGAAGGAGTTCTGTGTCTACAAATCTAACTGTAATGTTTATTTTTGGGCTGAAGGCTTTCCCTTAAGGGCAGTGAAGAAGTAACACTTTACAAGCTGGTTGCACTTGGCCTCAAGTGTGATTTAGTGTCTTCAGTCTTCATCTTATTCCATGACATAAGTTTGATTTTGTTGGGGTTTTTTTTTGTAAAGTCTTTGTTTAGACAACATGGTAAGATTTCTTATAAAGCAAACAGGTCTTAATTTAGTCAAATTGGTTTTATTGCATAGCATAACTTGGTGAGGTTTTTCTAAAAATGGCTTTTAATATGCACTTTTATCAAAGTAATTCTAGTGATGTTGTATCTCTAAATAGAGATAAATTGCTATTTTCAGTATTTTCTTTCAAATCATGCTTTAGAAATAAACTACGCTTTTAAATTTTACTTAAAGAAATGCTGTGCATATATTAACAATAAGTCTCTCAAAACCCAAAGACCAAAAAGCTGGTCAAGAGTTTTATTTTTAACATCTTAATTGAACTGTCTGCTCTGAATAATTTGGGTGTTTGTGTATTTGAAGTAGAACTGGGGCTCATTAGAACAGTTAAGAGTAGCCAGGAAATATTTCTCATGCAGAGGGCATATACCTGGTTTGGGGCAGTCAGCCAGCTGGAAGGTGCAGACTTCCTGGCTGGGAGGTATATGTGTACTGGTTGGTTGGGAAATATTTTGGGACGAGTCAGCTGCCTGTCAGGAGCAATGTGCTGCTTTCAAATACTCTGAAAGAAGTGTAAAAGAAAAGGCAGCGTGAGAAAGAAGAGAAGAGCTTCAGGCTTGGGTCAATCAAGACCTCAGGAGGCATGGTAAGGGTGCAGATTTGGAGTCTTGATGCTATGTGGAGATGTGTAGTTGCTTGGTAAAGAATTAATCTTGAGATTAGGTGCAGTCTTGTAATTGAGTGGCTTAATTAGAGTTTGGGGAGGAAGAAATTTTGATGTAAAATGACCTCTGTAACCTCTTGAGTGTGCTTGTCATTAGCAGTCATTAGCTTCAAACTAATAGTTTTGTGTTGCTGAAGGCCATTCAGGAGATGAATTGCTAAGTTGAGTTGCTAAGCATCTGCCCATATTTAGTGGTTGTCATGGTGGTCTGATGAGGTTCCTGCTAATTGGTAACATAGCCCCTATTTTTAGAAAGAAGGACCTGGGGAACTACAGGCCAGTCAGTCTAACCTCTGTGCCTGGCAAGATCACGGAACAGATCCTCCTAGAAAATCTTCTAAGGCACATGGAAAATAAGGATATTATTGGTGGCAGCCAAAATGGCTTTATTAAGGGCAAATCATGCCTGATCAATCTGTTGGCCTTCTACAACAAGGCTACAGAGATGGTGGATGGTGACAGAGCAACTGACATCATCTACCTGGATTTGTGCAAGGCGTTTAACACTGTCCCACATGACATCCTGGTCTCCAAACTGACAAGACATGGATTTGACAAATGGATCACTTGGTAGATAAATAATTGGCTGGATGGCCTCACCCAGAGAGTTGTGGTCAATGGCTCAGTGTCCAAGAGGAGGCAAGTGATGAGTGGTTTTCCTTAGGGATCACTATTGGGACCAGTGGACATCTTTGTTGGAAACATAGACAGTGGGATTGAGTGTATCCTTAGCAAGTTTGATGGTGATACCAAGCTGTGTGGAGTAGCTGACACCCTAGAGGGAAGGGATGACATCCAGAAGGACCTTGACAGGCTGGAGAGGGGGGCCAGTGCCAACCTCATGAAGTTCAACAAGGCCAAGTGCAAGGTCCTGCACCTGGGTTGGCACAACCCCAGGCATAAATACAGGCTGTAGGGAGAATAGCTAGAGAGCAGTTCAGAGGATAAGGACTTGGGGATGATAATAGATGAGAAGCTTGACAGGAGCCACCAGTGTGTGCTGGAGCCCAGAGACCCAACCACATCCTGGGCTGCATCAAAAGAAGTGTGGCCAGCAGGGCCAGGGAGGTGATTCTGCCCCTGTGCTCTGCTCTGGTGAGACCCCACCTGGAATACTGCGTACAGTTCTCGTGCCCTCAGCACAGGAAGGACATGGAGCTGTTGGAGAGGGTCCAGAGAAGGGCCACAAAGTTGATGAGAGGGCTGGAGCAGCTCTGCTATGAAGACAGGCTGAGAGAGTTGGGGCTGTTCAGCCTAGAGGAGAGAAAGCTCTGGGGAGACCTTATCACTGGAAGGCCTTCCAGTACCTGAAGGGGCCTACAGGAAAGCTGGGGAGAGGCTTTTCACCAGAGAGGGTAGTGGTAGGACAAGGGGAAATGGTTTTAAACTGAAAGAGGGTAGATTTAGGTTAGACATCAGGAAGAAATTTTTCACCATGAGGGTAGGAAGGTGCTGGAAGAGGTTACCCAGGGAGGTTGCTGATGCTCCTTCCCTGGAGGTGTTTAAGGCTAGGCTGGATGAGGCTTGTGCAGCCTGGTCTAGTGTGAGATGTCCCTGCTCATAGCAGGTGAATTGGAACCTGGTGATCCTTAAGGTCCCTTCCAACCTTAACAATTTGGTGATTCAGTGATTCTTGAGGTTCTGAGCTGCAGATGTGGACAATGTGGCAGCAAACAGTTAAGCATATCTCTTACCTGTCTGGTCAGTATTTAATTACACAGATATTAGATCTTCAGTTTCTCACAGTAGCAGTGTGTAGATTTTGTTGGTTTTTGTTTAATTATTTTAAAACAGATGCCTTCTGTGAAAGATGGGACAACACCAGAGAAAAACACACTGAAGAAAGGCCCAATCACACTACGAAGGGTATCAACTCCCAAGGTTAAAATGGTGCCATCTGTGTTGCCCTTGAAGAGAGGATGTGAAAGTAAAACTATGAGTACCATGAAAGCACCTTCTCACAAAGGAGCTGTTCTGTCATCAAGCTCTGGTAAGATAATTTTTCACTGGAATACTACCATTTAACCAGTTTCTTAAAATTAGGATGTTGCGTTTAATGTACTTCCTGACAGAACTTGCAGGGTGGTACAGAGTTGTATTTTTGCTGCTAAATATGATCCTCTATAAATCACAAATTGCTAGTATAGGAGGAAAAAAGGTAGGTTATACCTCATAATTGTAAAATGTCATCTTGTAAGTAATGTCTTTAGGAAGGTGTGGTGCTGTTTGAATAAACAATATTTAAATATTTATGTTCTGGTTATATAACAGTAATTTGTGGAATTACTACTTAAATTACTTGAAAGGTGTAAAAGTGAAGAGGAGAAAACACAGAGCTCAGGTACAAAGCAGATATGATAAGCAAGTGTATGCTGTTCCAAGGGGAATGAGCCTTTATTTTAGGACACAGCATATTTTGTTCAATCTAATTTTGGTACATCTCTATAATTTCTAGAAAGCGGAGGACATAATTGAAGGAGAGACTACTGCTTGAGCTGCTAATTAGGCTCAGACTTTAATACCAAGGGGCCAGGAGGCACTCACACAACTAGTCTGTAGGCTGCTGTTCAAATCTTGTGACTGGAAACTAAATGCTGTTAATGTAGAGATTCGGAAGTGCTCCTGTAGGTAGTGCTTTTTTAACCAAATGTGGCAATATAGCTAGTAGAAAAGGTGGCCTGACTATAAATGACTACACTATAATACACTGTAATTTGGAAAGTGTGCACACCCAGGTATAGCTAGTAAAACCTGTTTATTTTTTTAACCCACTCAATCTAAGATTATAAACAATCCCAAATACCCTTCTTAATTATATACAGGTGGTGAAGCATGGTAACATCTGTATCTGTAGTACGTTATGGGATAAGTCCCTTAAATAAAGTGGGTATAGTGTATTCTCTGATTTAATCCTTGCTAGTATGAGAGACTTGCTCAGTCAACTAGGTACCTACCTGTAAGCCATTGATTTCTTGGAAGACTCCTCATCTCTAAGTACTATTTTAGAGCTTTCCTATCTGTAATTGTGGTCTTAGAAGAACTGAGATGGATATGTTTATTTGTCTCTTAGATTAATAATTCAGAGTAGATTTATAACACCCATCACTTGAAATAAATGTAAGCATGGCTGGGTTATAGGACTAACTTCTTCCCTTCATAAAAAAAAATCAGATGTATTTTCAGAGGTAGAAATAATTTGCTGTTGCAAATAAAAATCTTTACTTCTCAAGTCTCTTTAGCTAAAGCTGTCACTCCCTAACTCATGTATATGGAAATTATGGTAGTCAGTAGAATACCTTCCAAACTTTTCCTATTTGAAAAAGGCTGCTTAAGGTGAAAGCATGAAGCAGCACCTCAACATTTCAAACTTATCTGGAAAGAATCTAATGCTGCCCAGAAGAGGAATCTTTTCCATGCCCTCTCTCTAGCCCCACTGTCTATGCACGCTGTTCTAGCTCATCTTACCCTTCATTTTGCTTATGCAGTGTTTTGGTGCTACAAAGTAGGATATGATGCATTAAACTATATTGAGTTTGCTTTCCCATCTCTTGCCAAGAGCTTTCATAAATATGGTTCCTTGCTCCCTGGTAAACATAGTACTGATGCAAATCAGAGGTTGGGAGTACAGAGTAGGAGTAGAAAGGATGAGGAAAGGTAGGAGTTACTTAATGCTACCAAAGCCCTGCTGTGTTATGCGACCACACCTTTTGGGTAAACCCTAGCCACTGCTGCTCACCTATCTGTTTTTAAAGTTTTTTTCTAGTAAAACTCTATATAAATTTACTGTGGCCAAGTGGCAGCTTGTAACTAAAGCAGTTTTCTCTTTAGCAAAAAAGCCTTCCTGTAGGGAGTAACCGCTTCTTAGAGTTTAATTCATTTGAGCATTTTGGTATTAAACTTGCACCTTGATATAATCTGAGCATTACAGATAAATAACTTTGTAGCCATGCAGTTGTTGTCTGTCAGGATTTCTCCAGACTATCAACTAGCTAAATTCAGGATGCATAGGGCTTTTAGAGGTCACCTAGTCCAGGTCTTCTGTCTGAAACTGGGTCAGCAATTAATTCAGACTAGGTTGTTCAGGTATTTGTCTAGCTGAGTTGTAGAAATGTTCAAATCCTAACAACCATGCTGCTGTCCTGAGCGGCTAACATGAATGCGTCGAACTCTTAACCAGTTGCTGGTTGTCTTTGGGTGCCTGGGCAAGATGACAAATCAGTGTAGTAAGTCCATTAAATACTCTGAACAAGAGAATTGATAGCATACCTCTGCTTCATGTCTCACAGGTGTATGTGGAGGGAGAGGAGTCCATCTGTTCAAAGTGTATTAGTATATGTAGTATTCCCAGAATAATCAAGAGCTCATGAGCAGTGGATTATATCATGCACTGTCATTTTGAGTGGGAAGCAGGAAACTTCCCTACAGCCAACAGAGAGAGGAAAAATATGTCCTGTATAAAATACCAGTTGCAACTTGGTATAAGTTGAGATTCTGGTAAATTTTTTTATTATAAATGTAAACTTTCAGTGGTAATGCACTAACCTAATAGGAAGCATTTCCTCTAAGAAAGTTCCTTGATCCTCTGCTAAGCAGAAGACAGGAGAAGAGAACTCACATCTTAAGCATTGTATCTTTGTGAAATAATTTGCTGAGAATGATAAAATAGGAATAACTTTTATACTTTTTTATTTCAAAATTGTTGCTGGCCACTAGTCAACAGTATTAGTGACTTAACTCAGTGTACCAAAGAGGTTTTTGAATGGCAAAGCCCCATTTCTGCAGCAAACCTATAAATCAGGTCACAGCTGCAAGCTAGCTGCCTCAAAATGATTTCTGTAACTACTGGTCTCCATTTCTCCGTAAGAGAATGGCCTGCAATGACATGCTTATTCTCAAACAAACTTCTTAATTCTTTACAGAATTCCATGCTGGTGTGCATAAATTCCTGTAGAATTGGATTGCAGGCAGTATACCTTTGGTATGTTAGTTTTGCACCAGTGAAAACATTTATTAGAATTCAAGACACAAAGTGTTTGAGCTACCTGGTTTGTACTGGAAGGCGTGTGTAATTTTGGAGACCTGGTTCAGGACTTTGAACCAGTCCAGAAATCAAAGCAACTATTGTTTTTGTTCCCGGCACACACACATAGCCTTCTAATTGGATGTACATAACCACTGTGGAGGAGTAATAGCCTGATAATAGTTGAGGTATTATGGTTTGGGAAGGGTCATGTCTTTCACTTTAATTGGATGTGTGGAAGGGAACTGGAGAAGACAAGGAGATTTGGTGGTCCCATGGAATGTCACTCTAAGTTCTTGTACTGTCAGCCTGCTCCAGCAACCATGTGCTACCACCCATGCAGCTGGATGGAAGCACTTACAGTTTAAGCCACAGAAAATGGTTTGCTGTTTGTTTGAATAGCATAAAATAGGAATATAAATTCTTTGCTTTATATATAAAAATATAAATGCCCACTACTGCTGTTTTTTTTCTTAGTGTTGCCTGCAACCTACCTATAAGCATATAAAAGAATGGAGCTTTAACTGCCATTTAAGATTTCTTATATACTAATACTTCACTTACACTTCTGCCTTAAAATAAGACCATTGCTTTCAGTTATTTCCCACTGTATGAAAATTCATACTGTTGATGTCAGCTGTGAGAGTTCCATCAAGCCTTATATGTAACTGGAACTATTTGGGGATATCAAGGCATGAATAATATTATTCCTCCACTCCAGCTGAAGATTTCAATAAATAAATGGAAACCCTGTAAGTCATCTTTGTAACCAAAATGTCTTTCACCACCTGACAGTTACTTCTGACACTTCAGGTACCATTTTGTCTCTGACTCAAGTCAGTAATAATGAAGTAGAACCCTGTGCTTTACTAATCTTTTCCATGAGTCTAGTCCAGTGGTATGCCCTCTTTTGCTTGCTAGTATTTTCATAGCATTTAACTAGAGTAATGAAAGCTTAGGTGTAAAGAAACTGTCTGAATTCTGTGGTGCCTTGAAGATGATTTTGGACAAGTGAGACCTTTTTCTTATGAAAGATCATACTGAAGGACTTTTCCAGTCTTGTTCAGCTAACTAAAGCATGGGAAAAGTAATTCCCCATATGCTATAGGAAATATGTTAAAGTTGCATTAGACTACAGAAGGTTTGGTCATACTTTGAAATACTGATTTGCTTCTTAGTTCACACATGCTAAATTATTTCTGTTGCATTTTGGTGTGATGTTATACTTAAATGTGTAGTTCGGAGAAGCTTCTGAAGCTAGAACCCGAGTAGGCCATAACAGATGAAGGCTGTTAATTTTTTAGCATTGTTGCTATTTATTGCACAAAGAAAGGCTTTTCAGATGGAAAATTGAAACCAATTGGTTACAATGGGTTTTCATACAGCTAGAAACTTACATAAACTTGGTAATTCAAGACTTTTTGGTATAGCCTTTCACAATATTAGTGAAGCACAGTGAAAGCAATTTAGTATCCATATGTGTTCTCACAATCTGTATTCTGACACTGATCCAGGAGCTAAACCAAACTTGGTTACTGCAAATCACTTTTCAGCTTGTGTATTATTCCTGCTATCTACCATGTGACTCTTTCAAGTTGGATTGCCATGCTGCCAAGAGGAAACAAAGTATTTTAAAAGGCAAACATAACTTACAGGTTTTCTGGCCAGAATGTTCAGATTTTCTCAAAATGCTGAACTGCAGATTTGCTTCAAAGCTAGCCCATATACTTTCTCATTAACAAATCCGAAATATACCAATCTATAAATCAAGCTTTGAATTTAATATCAAATACTCTTGATGCTTTTTGTTATTTTGCAGAACATCCAGGGTTTTTTATGGATCCTAAAGGCACGTTCCTCATACATGAACTTACCCAACAACATTTTTTGTCCTTCTAACAGTATGATATAAAGCTTGTCTATCATCCCTCTTTGGCAATCCTCATTCAGAGAGCTCCCCTGCGCTCACT